TTACAAACAAATCCCCGTTAAATTTATGTTGCGCATTGTTGTGGATGTCTGCGGTTCCTTTAGTTGGCCTGGTGGTTCCACGTGGCCACCCGTGCACCTTCGCCGCCCCAGCTACTTTCAAAAAGGGTTCGAACAACTTTCACCCAGAAAATCCGTTTAGCCGACAAACTTCTCAACTGTTTTCCTCGGGCGAGCCTAGCCCACCTCCTTTCAATGCCAAAAGACTCGACTAAACCGAATTTAATTTGAGTTTAAATCGGATTTTAAGAGTTTGCTTATTACTTTATAGCTTGTTCTTCCATGGAAATTGCTGTTCCTTCAGAATGTTGTATTGAAAATTCTTGAAATTTTTCCAAGGTTGTGTTTGAGTCGAAAAAGCTCAAAGCAATCGCTTTATTATAGCATATTTCTTCCAGAGGATTGATTGAACCTACGACGTATTTGGATTATTTATGAAATTAAGTGAAAGTCTTCACAGGCATGATAATTAAATCCAAATAAAATATATAAATATTTTCTAGAAGTGGTGAGAATTATCAACTTCAACCTTTCTTTTTTATTCCTTTATGTTATTTTTTGGTTATGCAATTCGGGGCCATTTTCTCGGCTCCCTCTTCACGGCTACATTAATTAACAATAAGACTATTTATATTCTTATTAATTAATAATAAAAATATTTAAAATAAACCGGCAGCAGTGTGTACTAACCTTTAAGGAGTTTGTATACAACTCAACCTTTTTATCTGTCACATTGCTATCGGCCTGGATCTTTGTTTTCGTATCCTGTTACACTATCACTTTAAATGGATTGGGAGTTTTGTTTCTCACTATGTTTTTCAATACCAAACTTATCCACGTTTTTTCTCTTTTTCTTTCCTTCAAGCGACTCATAAGTATTCAGTACGTCTACTAATAATTACGTATTTGCTATTCAAACAACAATTTATACACCACACCAAAGTTCACATCAAAGCAAAACCAAAGCTTTTTTCCATTTAGCATAAAATTTCTGCGTTTTGGTTCGATGTAATTAAAAAACCGTATTTTTTTTAAAATGAAATTTGCCATATTCTACCGTAAATTTCTCCAAAGAGGTTTATATCTAGTTTTTTGCTAATTTTAAATTTAGTCGTTTTTGAAAAATTTAGTGTTTCTTTTGTTGCTAAATATTAAATTGAAAGTTCTAGACGGTTGTCCTCTTATTGCGAATTTACCGCTTTTTTCTGGGTTTTTTCTCACAAAAATGAATAATTCAAAGCTACGAGTAGTTTTATGATGATGACGGTTGATAGTTTAAAAAACATAATATGTTGAATAACTGCCGAAGGGTTGGTATCCTTCTTTGTATGAAGTTTTTTCTTCCATTTGAGGCGAAGAATGTGCTGGTGATATTAATGCATTGAGTAGAGAGACACCCTGTATAAAACAACGTTGCTATCCTTACTCACTCAGCCAACTGTATTGTTTTCCCAAGATATATTTTGTTGCATGATCACCTTATCATTTTACTATACACATATACAATATATACTACTACACATATACTATACAATAGTTTCAAACGAAAGATAATATAGCTTGTTTCTCTAAGTCTAGTAACTAGTTTCTATCTCCAAATGTTAATAAAGTTTATGAGAAAGGATTGCATTGCTGCTGGTTTATTTTAAATATTTTTATTATTGTAAATAGAGAGTTAAATAGAGTTTTATTGTTAATTAATATGGCCATGATGAGGGAAGCCGGAAAAATAACTCCGAAATGCTTGGCCGAAAAGAAAAGAAAGTTTGTTGAATGTGATTATCCTCACCACTTCCAGAAAATAAGAACAACTACAAAAAAAGGAAAAAAGAAAACAACGATTTTATCTACGAAAATGTAGAGGAGTTATATGGAGAATATAAAAATATATTTTCACAGGGGCAACTTATAGGGAATTAATTACACTTTATTATCACTTGTGCTATTTTTAGAATTTATGTACTTTGCTAGGTTACAATAAAAAACCGCCTTTTGGGACAGACATGTCATTTATAAATAGTTATTCTGGTAGAGAAACTTTTCTTTTTACTACTACATGTTCATATTAAATTTTGTCAAGACGAGTCCAAATATTTCTCTTCGAACCTGAATTGATCAAATGTGAAAGTGTTCATAAATATAAAACGTTCCTATTATAGAGAGTAGTCTATCCTACAGTGAAAAATTAACTTAAGCCACTCACTGTTATGAAGCCTGTTTTAATTTACATTTTATTAAACCACTTTATTCATCTCTCTTTCCTTTTCCTTCTCTATCCCTACCTTTTCATCCATAATAATATTCTTTTCATATTTCTCTCTGGTAGTATTTCTTTTTTTTCTTAATCTCTCGCTATATATTTCCATCTCTCTCTCTCTCTCTCTCTCTCTCTCTCTCTCTCTCTCTCTCTCTCTCTTCTCTCCCACCCCCTCTCTCTCTATCTATCTATTTATCTATCTCTCTTTCTCTCTCTCTCTCTCTCTCTCTCTCTCTCTCTCTCTCTCTTTCTTTCGAATCCGACTATACGTTTATAGTTATGTACGTGCCCTGACAAATTTAATACGTCATCCCGCTTTGATATGATTCCAGTCCCTAAAATAAATAACACAATATTTGACTCTAAAGTGGTCTCTCTTGTCGAAAGTTTAACCCCCCCCCCTTTGTGCCTCTGGAGGGTGTCAATTTATAAACTCGGGACGGTGATCCGGAGATCTGCGGAGATCCAAGTGAAACCTCGAACCGAAGTTCGACACCTTAGCGAAACCGACAGCTCATAAGTCCAAGAAAAATAGATCCCTAAACCGGTAAAGTATGTATCCTTATATTTTTCGTTTTGCGTCTTAAAGAAACAGGTCTGTATTAAGTTCCATTAAAACCGATCATATGTTTCTTTAAATACATAAATTAAATTACTAAAACAAAAATATTACCTTTTACAAAGCTAAGGACGTCCTTTTTACAAAAAAAAATAAATAATAATAAGTTCGGTTTTTTACAGCTACGAATTAGGGTGTCGCACGATAATTTCCACTAAAAACCTGTGCACCGCAAAGTTGTTCATACACTCTTGAGATAGAATATAAGAAAATTTATTGTTAATTCCCTTTGGATTAAAAAAAAAAAAAGTAAGTTGGAAACATTATTACTCAATCCAAGTATTAATGGAAACCAATAAAGATAGGATCAGTTTGTGTGTGTGTGTGTGTGTGTCCTATTTATTTCTCTTTGTTTCATTTATATTTTGTTTGTTTTTACTTTTATTGTACAGAACTAATTTATGAGCTACTTAATGGTAAAGTTGCTAGTAAGTCTGCCCTAACAGCGTGCGCGGTGCGAAACACTTCTGCAACACTCACAAGTCTTGCGGGTTTAGTATACGGGATGCCCCATTTTTGACTTAGCTGGGAACACACCCTACGCTACGAAACGACCCTTGCCACCCGACGCCTAGTCGCATGTTGGTGTGGTGTACACATCTGTTCGACGCAAGCATACGACACGCGACAGACAATACAGTGTGTATTAAAACTAGTGTAAGTACTCAAAGCGAAGGGTCCCTGGTTGGATCTCACACACCTGAAATTGTTTTCAAAAACACCGGGAATCTAGGTGTAGTCTAACCTCGTAGTCGAAATAACCCCGGGAAAAAAGGTAAGCCGCCTATAAATAAAATACCCAATGAACATTACACAATTGGCAAGCAAAGGAGGAAAGGGGACAAACTAGAAAACAAGTACTACTTAAAAAAAACTCGGATTGTACATCCACAAACGCCTGACGTGGAATCCTCACACAAGACTGAAACGTCAGGAGGTTATGACACGATTTAGAGTTCTTGCACGACTTCTTGACAAAAGCTCTAATTTACCTCTCAAAAATAATAGGCTGCTTTACAACACCATAGTAAAGCCGATTTGGACTTACGGACTGGAAATGTGGGGTTCAGCCAAACATTCCAATATCCACCGCATTCAAACTGCCCAGTCTATAATACTACGAAAAATATTAGATGCTCCATTTTATGTATCGAACCAAACTACACATACAGATTTACATATTCCTTTCGTACAAGATGAAATACGTTTCCGTTACCGTAAATTTCATAAAAACCTCCCAACTAACGTAAACCAACACATCAGAAACCTCGCATCCCGACGAATCCCCTCAAACCCTCCCCGCCGACTGAAAAGACAATGGCCGAGAAAACTCCTAGGAAATGTTGGTGAGACAGTGAAAGTGATAATGACACACGTATCAATTGAACAAACAATATTATTGTAACATTGTAGTAATACCAATGGGTGTTTTCTCCACTCTTGGTTTTAATTTTGTTTAAATTACCTTGCTCACAGTTACTTATTACCTACTTTAAGGTACTTGTACTACAAATTATTTTAAAAAAAAAGGTTAGATAAAAACAATTTATTAAGTAATACCTAATACATAATAAAACACAGTAAAAATAATAACATCGAAAAGACCGAAGCGGTGAACACAATGTGGAACAAGTGTCGGTCACTACAAACCATGCAATACCTGACTGAGAACTATTGCAGGAATAATCGTGACTTTGATCCACTCGGACACCAACTTCCCATCTCAACCATCTCCGACCAGCTCTCTTTAATCTCCTTAAATGACCTCTTTCAATTAATTAATCTTTATGTAAGATATTGGTTGAGATTAAAAAGTCAGTGTGGGAAGTTGGTGTCCGAGTGGATAGAAGTCACGATAGCTCAAGTGGTAGAGCAGCGGCGTATTTAGTTTTAGGTCGTGGGTTCGAATCCCCCTCGTGACACTTGCTTTTTTTTATCTCAACCAATACCTTACATAAAGATTAATTAATTGAAAGTTTTTATGTATAGTTGCTTATTAATTAATACAATTAATAGAAATGAATGTTACTTTTATGTTATCATATAAGGCCTTTATAAACTCATCCACAGAATGTATTTAACGTGATTTTATTTTTTTTTTTTCAGGTGAGTGCAGCGCTAAGGCCTTTGAACGTAAACGTAAGTCTGAACTTTTCTTTTTACGATTTGATATGCATGTGAACAAAATTCAAACAAGTGCTTTGTCTTTTTAAAATTAATATTAATTTTTAAACTAAATGGTCGTCTTTTGATTCGACGGAGCCAGGCTTTGAATACAGGCCGATGGGGCAACAAAGGCGGTTTGAAAATGTAATATCCGGCGGTGACAATGGGAAGAGGAGTTTCTTGAGGAACGAGCAATTGTTAGGCAAGTTATCTAACGTGTTCACGTGGTTGACGTTATTACCTTATCGGCGCTCCAATCATGGTAAAACTTATTCTGCAATAAATGTTCTGTTTAATTTCCTTGCTTTCGGAAAATGGGCTTTTGATTAAATTACAGGTAACGCGCTGAAGATTGTATTGAGACCTAAGTGGGACGTGTAATGAAAAAGGCCTCCCTTCCGTATCAGAGAGTAATGGAGTGAGATGGAGCCTTCATTAAGGTCTCGCTTCCTATTTAATGCTCTACCCTCTTTATTCCAGTTTAATCGGGTCTAATCACCCCTTTGCCAAAATGCCAATCCAGAACATTTTTGGAAAACTGGGATGTTTTTCCTCATTGCAACTAAGGCTGACCAAAGGAGATATGAGGGTATATGAAAAGCATATGAACACTTAAACCCCGTTTGGTAAAATTCGGCTTCTTATTTAATATCCCGAAAACCACGGAATCTTCCCTAGATTCAACACGGCCTGAAGCCGGAAACACACCCGATGCAACGCTATGCGACGCAACCGGATGCTAGCCGACGCCTTGCCACGTTTTGGTATGGTGTGCACATCTATGCGACGTCAAGCGCATGCCAGGTACAGTCACACAGCGTGTAACACAATAATCATTATCACAATCGCAACACCTCTTTTGTTCTCAATGCACTATTTTGAGCCAAACCTTGTAATAAATTGTTAGTTAAATTTTATGAGCACAACCATGTAATAAATTGTTTGTTAAACGTAATTGTTTTAAGTAAAGTTATTCCCGTCTTTGGATAAATTTTCTGCCTAACCATCGTAATTAATAATTTTTATAAAAAATAGAAATTTTTGATCTCGTTTAATTTGGTTTACATTAAAATAAGCATGTTGTAATTAATATAACGACAAAATTTCATATACTTAGTTTGAAATAAACTACAAAAAATATGAGTGTCCTGTTCTGATGCTACCCGACATTACAAAATGGTGTAATTTTATGAGCAAAACTATGAAATAAATTGTTAGTTAAATTGTATGAGTAAAACCGTGTAATAAATTGTTAGTTAAATTCATTATATCAAAAAATGGTTTTCGGTGTTTTGATCAATTGTCTACCAAACCATTACAATTAATTTTTTTTAAATAAAAATAATGGATTTTTGATCTAGGTTAATTTGGTTTATATTAAAATAAGTATGTTGTAATTACGCTGTAGTTTGAATAAAAGTATGAGTGTCCGGTTTTTGTCTTCGACTGTTCATAAAATTCTACAGCTTAGTAACATACATTCATTACTTTAGAAGCAAATTCTAAGAAAACAAGATCATTCAACTACATTCTAACCTGTAAGAGTTTTTATCATGGGTCAGACGGTTGGATGATCAACCGTTAAGCCGGGAACACACTTACCCGATGCAACGCCATGCTACGCTACCCGATGCTTCACAACGCCTTGTCACTTTTTTGTAGGTTGTGCACATCTATGCGACGTCAAGCGCACTTCACGTACGTCACTTATAATACGTAATAAATTGTTAGTTAAATTTTATGAGCACAACCATGTAATAAATTGTTAGTTAAACTTAATTGTTTTACATAAAGTGATTCCGGTGTTTTGATAAATTTTCTGCCTAACCATGATAATTAAATAATTTTTATAAAAACTTATGAATTTTTGATTTCGTTTAATTTGGTTAACAAATTACATATACATAGTTCGAAATAAACTACAAAAAATATGAGTGTCCTCTTCTGAAGCTACTCGACAAAAATGGTGTAAATTTATGAGCAAAACCATGACATAAATTGTTAGTTAAATTTTATGAGCACAACCATGTAATAAATTGTTTGTTAAACATAATTGTTTTAAATAAAGTAATTCCGGTGTTTTGATAAATTTTCTGCCTAACCATGATAATTAAATAATTTTTATAAAAACTTATGAATTTTTGATTTCGTTTAATTTGGTTAACATTAAAATAGGAATGTTGTAATTAATATAACGACAAAATTACATATACATAGTTCGAAATAAACTTCAAAAAATATGAGTGTCCTCTTCTGAAGCTACTCGACAAAGATGGTGTAATTTTATGAGCAAAACCATGACATAAATTGTTAGTTAAATTTTATGAGTAAAACCATGTAATAAATTGTTAGTTAAATTCATTATATCAAAAAATGGTATTCCGGTGTTTTGATCAATTTTCTACCAAACCATTGAATTTTTAAAAAAAATAAAAACTAATGAATTTTTGATCTTGTTAATTTGGTTTATATTAAAATACATACCTTGTAATTAATATTACGGCAACAATACATGTAGTTTGAATAAAAATATGAGTGCCCGGTTCTTTGTCTTCGACTGTACTCGATGCGACCCGACGAAAATCTGGACAGTGGGGATCGCAGAGCGTAGAGTAGGGTAGCATAGCATAGCATCGGGCAGATGTGCACAGAGGTAATACAACCTTATGAAAAAATGGACATTGGATTTGCGTCGGGTTGCGTCGCATGGCGTTGCATCGGGTGTGTTCTTTCATGGCGGGGATGCTCAATCAGTCCTTTGTGGTTGGGAAGAACAGATAAAACGAGATACCGGCGAATCCTTATGTATAATATGATTACGATTCCTTGTGGCAAATTGGAAATAAACAATTGGCTTCCATCTAGTTCATGATGAACATAGTTATTTATTGGGTCAGTATTCCCCACCCAATAAGTGACCCTATGTCGTTCAGCATAAGTTCATCTACTCGCAGACCAACACCCATCATCAACTCTTACATATCAGTAGCTGGAGGAGATCGGGAAACTTTGGCAAGATTTAACCTTATAAACCTATATGATGTGGGTTGAATTTTTTGCGAAAAGTTTTATTTTTCTAACTCTCGTAAAGAGTGAGTATCGCAGTTTTTGCCATACCCCCCTTACAATTTCCTGGAACCTCTGGTTTTCCGCAAGATCTAATTGGATTTCTTGGCAAATTTTAATTAATTTTTGTACGGTAAAGCTTAACTTTTGGACCATTTCAATTTATTAAATTTTGATCGAGAATAATCTTGGTTGACTTCAAAAGTTAAGTCTTCAGAATACTCGAGATTTAAAAATTTTGATCGAGAATAATCCTGCTTAACTTCAAAAGTTAAGTCTTCAAGATACTCAAGATATAGCTATGAAATCTTCCATAAGAAATTATCTATCACTTTCTCAGCGGTTGAGACGGGACTCCATTATTTCCAACGCAAAAATCCTTTAAAATGATGTGTCAGGATGTATAGGGTCGGATTTGGAATTTTGAAGTTGAACTGGGCCTGAGGTACCCTGTATAATTTTGCTCCAAAAAAGATAAAAATTTGAAACGACTAAAAAATATTAACACAATTTGTTTTACTCGAATGAATCATGATAGATTCAATAAATTCAAGGTATCATGGCAATTAATTTCGAGAGCTAAAAAATTTAAATTCCTGACAAATAAAATCGTTTTCGTAATGCATGCAAGGTCGGAAACAATCGCCTTCAATGTACGAAAAAGAAACCATTTTAAATACAATGCCCCTGTTTTCAGATTAATTATTCATGGGCTGGACCAAACAAGAAAATCCGTTTTCCCTTTGTTAAAAAAGGGAGCATTTACTGAATAGCAATGCGGGCATTACAGTCGAAGCAGGTAGCACTTGTGTAGTAAAACACTAGCACCTCGGGTCAGAAAAAATCTCCTTTTAGACCTCTAACACAGTTCTTCCTCTGAATATTTACCGGCCAGCTCCTGAAACATTCTCTATTGGAAGTTGTCGGATCGAGGAACGGCCATGAGTGGATATTTGTGTAGACCACCCATTCCGCAGATTAATGAGCTGCCGTTTGCTAGATTTTACGGGTTTGTGTGGTACCCGGCTGTAAGTTTCCGAATAGGAAGAAAAAGTTCGAATGGCTTTTAATCCTTGTCTACTACTGCAGTTTATTAGTTTTTGTTCTTCCCCCATTATAGGTCGAGACAATATGTTGTGTTCTGCACTGTGACTTCAAGGACTGATAATTTCGTCATGGCATGTGTTCACACGGGTAGTAATATGTATGCCTTAATTGGCTACAACAGAATAATTATAAATGAATTTTGACCGAGAAAAAAATATGTATTATATCTGTGACACTATTTTTAACGAATCTGGATATGAAATTGCGTGCAACAATCAATTTTTTTTATTCCTACATCAAGATAAATAAATATGCGCAATCTAAGAAAACGATCAATTAAAAAAATGACAGTATTCGTCTTTATATTTGTACAAATAAAATGACACCAAGAGAAACTTCTAGAAGTAGACCAAGGATGTGGTTACTGATTATCAAGGGAAACGAACCAACGACTGCCATTAATAAAAGGAAAATGGCGTGACAGAAACCTAAGCCTTTTTGATCATCCTTTGATCAAAGGAATTCGAGACACTCAAGAAGAGGGGTCCGAGATGGTCAAAACGACGATAAATGATATGTGGACCAAAAGCTATAATAATAGCAAAATTTGCCTTGATTACTTAAAATGTCCCCCAGTCTGGCCTGTGATCCAAGTAAAGTTACTTAGAATTTTTCTTCTCAGGCGGCTTTATTCTAAGTCTATCTTCGTTTATATGATTTTTTAAGCATTGCGACAGTGGTTGTACTCGGAATGAGCGCAACAAGTACAACGCGGTTAATCGTTGGGGTGGCGGCGTAATCTTGACTAAGGGGGGAGTACGCAGCCCGTTGTTATATAGCCATCACTCTTTTTATGTTCC